TGGGAAAAAAATTCTGTCATATCATATCAAAACAGTGAGAAAGATCTCAACCTGAATGGAGAAGAAAAAGGCAACCAATAGAGGCCAACATGAAGATGACAAAAACGTTAGCATTGTCTGCTAAAGGGTTTTTAAATAGTCATCATAAATGCTCTTCACCAGGTAATTATGAATATGCTAAATACAAATGAAGAAAATCGAAACCTCAGCACATAAACAGGAAATATAAATGAAGAACCTTGTGGACATCTGAAAATGGAAGCATACATAGCCAAAATAAAAATTCTTGTGGATAGACTGAACAGCAGAATAGAGGGGAAAAGGAAAGAATCATTAACCATAGAACCAAAGAAATTTTTCATTCTGAATAATAGAAAATAGACTGAAGAAAAAAATAAAACTCCAGGAACCCATGAAACAATAAACGTGTAACATTAGAGTCCTATGAGAAGAATAGGAAAAAGAGACTGAAAAAGTGCTTGAAAAAGTAACTGAAACTTGCTAAACTTGTCAAAAGATATAAACACACTGATATAAGAGGTAGAATTAGTAGGATGAATAATGCCTGCCCAAAAGATGTCAATATCCTGATTCCAGAATCCGTGCATACATTACTGTGTGTAAAGGGATCTTACAGGAAGTGATTAATTTAAGGATTTTGAAGTGAAGAGAGTATTCTGTATCATCTGAGTAGACCTGGTGTACAAGGAGGAGGTGAGAAATATGATGATGGAAGCTCAAGGAGAAAAGACAAGGTGGTGTAAAGTCACAATCTAGATCTCAGGGAGCCCCTAGAAATAGTAATAGCCAAGAAAATGAATCTCTCCCAGTGCTTCCAAGATCTCCTCTCCACCAGAACTGTAAGATAATCAACTTGAGATGTTTCAGGCTAGTAAGTGTGACAGTTTGTTATAGCAGCAGTAGGAAACAATTGGAGTAAACCTCAAACAAGATAAACCAAAGAAATCCACAGCAAGATAGTCAAACTTCTAAACACTAGTGACAAAGAAAGTAAAAAATTTGGCTAATAGCAGATTTATCATCAGAAACTATGGCACTCTAAAGGAACTGGCACTGCATGATTCAAGGACTGTCTTAGATGCCAGTGAAAATGTCCTCCAGAAATAACAGGGAAATCAAGATAGTCTGAGATGAAGAAAAGCTGATGGAATTTGTCACAGGAGGTCTCTGTAAAGGAATGGCTGAAGGAAGTGCTCTGACCAGAGAGGAAACGATCTCAAGATGGTCAGGTAAGAAGACAACACAGTGAACATAAATATTGCTAAAGACATAGATTTTCTTGAGTTTTTAAAATTTTATTTCAAAGTGGATGTAAAAAAATAACTGTCTGATATCCTCAACATATAAAAGAAATAATTAAAACATGAGATGTTTGAGACATTTATAAGAGAGTGAATAAAGGCCAGAAAAGGGATTAAGATTTCTATGCTTTATTCAGTTACAGTAATAACAACAGTAGGTGGTGGTAGATTTTCTGTTTGTAATGTAATGACTAAAGTAACCACTAAAAAGCTGTACCTGGAGATATATTTAAAATCATTATAGATAAATCAGAATGGAATTCAAGCAGCGGTTATGTTAGCCAACATAGGGTGTAAGAAAGCAGAGAAATGAAAAGGAGCAACCAACAGAAGATGACATTTGATAAAGAGCACCTGGGAAAAAAAAGCTGTTTCGTGCTGAGAGACCGAGCGCTTTTCTCCTGAGCCTGGGAAGGCCAGGGGCTCCCCTCGTCGCTGTTCTGCAGATAGTGCCGGATATTCCATTCAGTGCAGTAAGCAAGAAAAGGAAATGCAAAGCATCCAGACTGGAAAGGGAGAGGTGAGACAGCCCTTATTTGCACATAACATAGTTGTTTAAGTAGATGTCTCAACGAGTCTACAAAATACCGCCTAGAACTAATAAATGAGTTCAGGAAGATCACAAGACCCAGAATAAACATAGAGAAATCAGTGATATTTTTATATACCAGCAATGAATGCATGAACACAAAATTAAAAATATAGTACCAACTCAAAGTAAACCATGGCAAACTCTGACTGTGGGTGATAATGAAGTGTCAGTGTAGAATTATCAGTTGTGACAAATATACCGGTCTGGTTGAAGCTTGAATATTGGGGGAACCCAGAAGGTAATGGGTACTCTGGACTTTGTGTGAACTCGGTTTTGCTGTGAACATAAAACTATACTGATAATTAAGTCTACTTAAAGGGGGAAAGGCCCTTCTAAATGTACCATTTACAGTAACTCAAGAAATAAGAGAAAATCAGGTATAAATTTAACAAAATGGGACTTGTGTGTTAAAAATTGCAAAATACTGTTGAAGCATGCTATTTTGGTGGCTGAAAACTCAAATTAATGGAGAAGCTGATTGTTCAAAGTTAACATACTGGTTTAACACAGTTTCTATCAAAATCTCAGCAGATTTTTTGTGCATATAAACAAAATTAATCTAAAATTGATGCAGAAAGACAGGAAGCAGGGTAGGTAAAATAATTTTGAAAAAGCAGAATAAGTGAAAAATCAGTCTACTTAATTACAGGGCTTATTAAATAACTACAGTAATCAGCACTGTGGTTTTTGACAGAGGGATAATATAGATCAGTAGAATGGGATGGTTACTGCAGAAAGAGTCATACAAATATGCCCAACTGCTTGTGGATAAATCTACAAAAGCACTTATATGAAAGAGTCTATAAAAGAAAATACTGATAAATAGGATATCATCAGAATTAAAGCTTTTTTCTTTACAAAAGACCCTGTGATGCATATGAGAAGGCAGGCTACAAGGTGCGAGAAAATATCTGCAAATCCTATATATGATAAGGAAATTAATGAAATTTAATAATTAAATATATGTATTTAGAAAATTGTCAAATGGAGTCACTATTTTGTTGAAGAGGATATACAGATCTTCAAGCATATCTTACTTGCCCACTTAATGTTGGGCAGTAGGTTATCACTTTTAAATTTACATTAAGAGAATATTTAAATATTGTGAAATATATAAAAGTCTGTATTTCTTGCTTCTCTCAATAAAAATCAGAAAATCTGACAAAAGTGGATTCGGAATCCCAATTCCCCAGGGAGAAATATGTACAGGTAATTAGGGGCTCCTTTTAGCTAAAATATGATTGCCGTAGCCCTTAGCATTCCCTATTTTCTTCCAGAAAACATAGCCAACCATTAGCTGATTTTTATCAGTGTGCATCACTGTCGTTTTTCTTAAAGCATAGGAAAACGTTCTGACCCACCTCGCCATTGAACCCCAGTCCTTCTGAGAAGACACTGATCTCGTAGGGCTCACTCTTATGTGGTGCCCATTGGACCTCTTTGGTTTTGGATTCTGTGACTCTTGCCTTTAGGACCCTATGAAAGCTGCTGCCTCTTCTTAGACTGTGTTTTCCTTCGTGGCCCGCCTGCATAAATAAGACTCCTCCTACCAGGTTTATTCTGCCTGTCTAATTTCACTAGTAAAAAATCTATTGCTTTAATTTTTGTTTTAACACACAAGCCAATTTCTTTCTAATAGCTGTAAGTCAGGTTCTGCCTTTTATCTTAGCAATTTGTAAGGTTATAGTCTTCTTGATTATAGACTACCTAAAATTATTTTTCTGAAAACATCCATTACTAAATTCTCAGTTGTTGAACTTAAGACCTCCAATAAAATTGGAGGGGCTGAAATCACTAGGCTGTTGAAGCTGTTCATTAAAATGAGATAAACAAATGTGAAGTAGGTGTCTCCTTGGGCATTTCTTAAGGTTCTTTCTTCATTGTTGTAATTACTCTACCATTCCTTGCTAAAGACTTTCTAGTAGTTTATCTAGAACATGCCACAGCAGATTGTTTGTATCACTAAAAGCTCTAAAACATTCACTATCATTGATCTAGGGTTTCAGTGGGCTTATAAATTGATTTTATTTCGTGCCATGTCACATACATAATATGAGGAAACAGTTCTGCATCTGGCTTTCTAATGAACCATTTTCTGTTTTGCAAATCAAAGTCTCTCACTCCCACCCCCCACTTGTGTTCTGTTTTTTAGAGCTCCAAATCTGAGTGATCTCCTGATCTCATAAACTCAGTCTGAAATAGTTGAGTAGGAAATGGAAGTAAAGAATTTCAGAGAAAGAATTTACCATGAGAGAAGAATTAGTAATTCATATGAATATAGTTTGTGGTACTTAGCAGATTTTTGTCACAGAGTAGACATTCAGAAGTGAGCCCATATGTTCTGTGTTGAGCGCTCAAGTAGTTTACTACTGTCTGAGGGAGATGCCAACTACAATCTTACAATTACTATTTTACTTTGTTTGTTTTTCCTTCTGATGGAGGAATGAACAGATGACAGGAAGGTATCTTGCTTGCATGAATTGAAAGCTGGCTGAAAATTTTATGAAATAAGAAAACCCTACAGGCTCCACATGTGATTTGTGAAGATGTGCCTATTTGTTTGGTTTCAGATAAATGACAGAAATTAGCATTTATTTGAACTAAATGAAAGTTAGAGAAGGGTTAAGGAATGGAAAGAGTGCTTGGGATCAAATCTGTACACTCTCCTTGTCCTACCTCGACTACTAATCTGTGTTACTTTTTTTTTTTTGTCTTTTTCCTTTTTATCAGTACCGGGGATTGAACTCATGACTGCCTGCTTGCAAGGCAGGCTCTTATGCCCGCTGAGCTAAATCCCCAGCCCCATGTGTTACTTCTGATGGAGAGGGAAGCCTGAAAAGGCTGAGTCCGGGGTAGGGTTTCCCCAGACTAGAAGATCAGTGACTTCTTAGCTTATAATGGCAGAACTAATGGTGCAAAACAGTAAAAATCAAAAGGGTAAGCACTTGTGCTTGGGGGCCAGATTATTTATATTTAGTTTTCTCACTCCCTACCCTACTAGCTGTGTTTTCTGAGCAAGTAATAAGCTTCTTGGTGCTTCAGCTCCTCGTCTGTAAAATGAGTGTTGCATTGATATTTGCCCACAGGGTTGTTAAATGAGAAGTGCACACAGTAGTCCCTGTTTGCTGTCTGCAGACGGTGTTCACAGCTATAGGAGGAAGGCTCGCAGGACAGGGATCAAGAGGCTGGCGCTCTCCTATACCAATAGTCCGGAAGTAGCAACAGCTTTTGTAAGTAGCAAAAAATCTGCATTGTACATTTTTTTCCTTGTCAGTTGCTGCTCTTAGTCTACACGTACAAGGTCATCTGAAACAGCTTGTCTTCCTAGAGCAAGGGAATCAGGAGCCAGGGAAATAATTTAGATTTAAAAGGAGAAGGATAGTTTAGCATTCAGGTCCACTTGCATTCAGATCCGTGGCCAGTGTGTGAGTGTTTTCCTGGGTCTCTTTGGATAACCTGGGATGTTTGTTCAGATTCCTTCTGTGCCCTAAACCCACATCTGCTCGTTTCCAAAATAAATCTACTTGTGGTTGTGTAATAATTAGGAAGGTCTTTAACTCTGGGGAAGAAAACCTTGGTTCTTATTCCACTTTCCTAAGGCCTGAGGAAGAAAAACCTTCTGAGTAAGATGAAATCAGTTGACCTCAATTCTTTTCAGACCTGTTTTTTTTCCTGCATTGAGGATTAAACCCAAGACATCACGCGTGCTAGCCAAGTACTTTCTTTCCTACTGAGCCCCACTGCCAGCCTTTCATATTTGTTTTCAGAGTCTCGCTAGTCATAGCTTTTAATGTCTTTGTAGTAGAATTTATTAAACATATTGTAAGTTTATGCCAGCTTGTCACAATAAACAGCGCATAACAAATAATATACCCAAGTAACTTAAACTTATAAACTTGAGAGAAACTAGCAGACACCTTCTGCCTTTTCCTGGTTCTGTCAGTCAGGAGGCTTGCTAAGTCTATTCATGATAATAACCCTGTAAGGGAAAATATTTTTTAATCCAAAAATTTTCATTGATCTAGGCTCCCCTGGGCATTGATTGCCGTGGTCCAAGGGACAGTGGGCAGCGTAATATTCAACCTGGACAAGATGCAGGGCCCATCTTCAGGAGCGGGGCTAATCTTCCAGGCCCCCAGCATGGCTCCTGTAAGTGGATTCCAGAATGTGGCAGGGGTGGAGTGAATTGTGAGCACAACGACTCATGTGACCAAGCAAAAGTACGGGAGTGAGAAGAGGGCACGGGGGTGAGGGACAGGTGGCCTGACGGCCACTTCTTCCCTCTCTCCCCTTCTTTCAGCTGCTACAGACTTTTTATGACATTCAGGGAATTATGGAGAGCAGGCTAGGAATCCTGAGCAGCAAAGGTGGGATGTTTGTTTCCCTTGCCTCTTGCTACCTCTTCTGATCCTTGTTTTATACACTTGACTTCCTTACTGGGTTGTAGGGTTGCAGCTGAGTGGCAGAGTTTCAGAATTACTGGAAGAAAGTCAAACACATTTTCTGGTCTCCATCTGTTTCCTCTTACTACTCGTTCTGTTTCTTGCAGGTCCTGTGGGGATAGAAAAGCCGTGCAAAGAAAGCAAACGCATTTCTCTTTTGTCCCCTTTACTGACCCCTTCTTCTCTCCTCGCCCACCAGCAGGATTTCTCCATGCCCTTGGGGAGTGTGTGTGTGTGTGTGTGTGTGTGTGTGTGTCAACGTGCCTCGTAGTGGTTTGGGCTTCAGTGGAAAGGAGGTTGAAAGCTGTAACTAGATGGTGTGAGTACTAAAAACTGTAAAATTACAAGAAGAAATGTCAGAAGATTGCACCATGGGTCTAAAAGGATCTTTATCCAGATAACTAGTTTTAAACTTTTTGTTTACTGGATTCGAACTGAAGTGTTCAAAATCCTATATAGCCAGGCATGGTGATACATGCCTGTGATCCCAGAACTTGAGAGGCTGAGACAGGAGGATCACTGTGAGTTTGAAGCTAGTCTGGGCTACATAGTGAGACCGTGTATCAAAAAAAAAAAAAAAAAAAAAAAATATCCGGCCAGGAGGTGATCCTTCTCTGGAAGCCAACGCCATGTTTGGGCCACTGCCTGCGTGGGGACAACCACGTCCAGACCTCTCTCCATGAATCAGCACCATTCTTGAACTGCAGAGGGAGAGAAATAGGTCTCACCAAGAGATGATCCCCACCTGGAAACCATATCATTTCTATTATTTTGTAGGTTGGGTTTTATTCTCTTTTGTTTTATTTGATATTGTTAAATCTTATGGCATGAGTAGCTATTTAAAAGATAGCAAGACATACTATGGTAGCCATTTTGCATTTGCTGTTGGCTTGTTTTGAAGTCCTTTATTGCATTCATTGTTTTGTTTTTATTGTTTCTATTGTATTCTGTTCTGTTTGATTTTTACTACCTCTGAAGGTATCTGCAGCTATTTTGAAGATAACAAAAGGCATTATGGTAACTGTTGTTGATTTTGTAAGGTTTTGAAGTCCTGTATCACTTATACTGGTTTACTTTGGTTTTATTCTTCTGTTTTCCTTAGTTTTATCCTCTTTAAAAAAAAATCCTCCATGAACTTTGAAGTATGTCTTTAAATTGAGCAAGTAAGAAAGCATAGGTAGCAGGTTAGTAGCACCTAGAGTGAGACTTATAAACTCATAAGTGAGTGAATTAAATCAGGGTATCCCACATTCCTGTAGGACGGTAGTGGTGAACCTGTGGCACACACGCCAGTGAGCTGCTTATGTTATTGAAATTTCTAAAAGATTCACTGTCACTGCTCTCGGAGATCAGAGGTTGGGATAGGTGGGTAAAATACACCTCCACAGAACTGTTTGCAGTCTCACTGTTTGAATGTCCACTTTATATGCTTTAATTTTGTAACTTGAACAAATATTTCTAAGATGACAATATGTAATCCAGTAACTAGTGATTTCCTACTGTTTATTTTTTTCTGAAATTCTGTATAACTTGTACCCTTTTTCTACTTTTTTTCCTCTTTTTCTCCTTAAATAAATTTTTTAAAACATTAAAAAAAAAAAAAAAGAAATACACCTCCTTTTAATTCTAAGGAAGACACCAGTGCCTAATAGTGCGTAGTAAAAGGTAACTGGTACTTGGCTGTCATATCTGGATGACAGCAGAGAGTGGCGAGGTCTGTGGCATGTAGGGAGCACATGCTCATTTAGGGACAATAGTTAGAGATGCCTTTGGCGAATTTGGGAAGATGAGCTCAGAGCTGGTAGGTTTGATGTATCACTTGCACATATGAGACATTCTTCTAAGGGCTTAAATACTGACCTAACAATACTCTCCAACTAAACAATGTCATGAAGGTTTCTGAAAGCTAATACTTCAACCAATTCACGAGAGGTTCCTTGGGGCATGGATTCAGGTGTGTCTTTTCTTTGTATTTCCGCCCCCCCAAAAGGATGAGGTGATGTTATTCTAGGAAGATGTCACCTCTGGGAAGAAGAGAACACATTTAAGTAAGTCAGGCTGTCTCCTCTACCTCTCTTTATTGTGATAGTATCACTCAAGATTTATTCAAAAATTTAGGAGTAGTCTGACCTTGTTCCCGACAAGTAAAATGTTTTGCTGTCAGTAGAATTTTCATATTATTTCTAAATTTTTATTTCAAATCTTGATTTATTGATTTACTCTTTTGTGTTTCAAAGCCACACCTTCTTCAATACAGTGCTTTTCTTTTATAGCCAACAAGTTTCATCTTGATTTCTAAAATGCAAGAAAATAACATTAGTTATGGATATGAGTGCAGCGGATCTCTCCATACATGGAGAAATTAATATTTCTTCTAGAAAATTCACCATATGCTGGGCAGACGCCAGTTGGTATTCAAATATGAGTGAAGACAGATGTCTGCCAAACAGACTAATTAAAGTGTATGTCAACCCCTTTCAGCTTTGGAAAACATTAGAGGTACAACAGTGATAGAATTATTGAATATTCTTTACTAACTGCTTTTCATGACAGAAGTCTCAGGCAAAATAACCATAATGAAATGCTCCTAGTTAGAAATTAATGTCTCCTGTGTTGTCATAGGAAGTAAGTAGTGGCCAGACTTTCAAGCTATGAAGGAACTGGCTTAAAAGATGCATTTGAAAACCAACATATCAATAGCAATTCAGAGAAGTTTTTAAGTGGTTCTATTCATTTTTCTGGAAATATATGTCCTTGAGCATTTCAGTTACATTCATTTGGGTGAGCTCCAGGATCCCATGGCAGAGCCTGAATAAGCATTTAATGAAATAAGAAACTGGAAGTCAGAAGCGGCAGCAACCTGGGCTGCAGTGATATACCTGAGACAGGCAAAACCGAGGTCATCCACCTCTCAGCCCCAAAACCTGGTGTCCAATTCCATACACCATCAGTGTGGTCCTCACCTCTGGCCATATATGGTGAGCAAGACATCTCCTGTAAAATGTTTTGTAGATTTCTGTGTCCGGCATCCTGTGAATGTATTCTGTTTGTAACAGATGGTAATGTGCATGGAAATTACCTAAGCCTCTTACAGAACTGCAGATTCTGACCCAGGAGGCCTGGGCTGGGGCCTGGGTTTGCCTTTCTCATCAGCTCCCTCATGATGCTGCCCACAGACCACAGTAAGCTCTGCGTGATCTCTGTGCCTGTGCTTCTATTAATGCTATGGTTCTGCGAAAGCCGATCATCTGACATTTCAGATAAGACAGGAGCATTTCACAAAACATGCCTACCATGGCATTAACTGTTTTCATTCTTCATAATCATCTTCATCAAAAGCCCTTTAAGTGCCTAATTATGCAGAACACTGTCACATGCTTTACAAAAAGAACTAAATAGATTTGGTCCCTGGCTTATCAGACTTGACAACCTAAGACAGAGAATATGTATAGAGATAGTAATAAATATTGAGGCAATAATAAATATTCAGTGATAAGTGTTCGCCCAGATATAGAACACATTAAAATAAAAGTGGGTATATATATTTAGCATGGTCCTTCAGATATCAATTTTCATAGTTTTTGTTCTTTGTGAAAATCATGGACGCTGAAAAGATTACCATGTAATTTTTACATAACAAGAGGTTTGTTTTTGTTTTCCAGATAGGATTGAGGAAAGGGAAATTCAGGGTGTGAGGCTGCTTTTGTAGTTATCTGATTGATTTTGACCTCCCTCACTTTGAAAGAAATATTTAGTGGTCCCACATGGGTAACCCTACCCGTATACAGATGCCTTGGCGTGGCTTTATGAACACAAGTTCATTAGACTACCCTCCTAGCTTCCTGCTCAAAGTGTTTTGGATTTCTGGTACTAGAAATCAAACTTAAGACCTTGCACTTGCCAGGTAAGCACTGGTGCTGCTTAGCTATATCCCCGGCCCTAATGCTCAAAGATCTTGAGCCCACCAATCACCCTTGCACTACCTCTGGGAAGCAAGGTGGGAGGTGTGGACATGGTTATCTCTGCACCATCGGCTGTTAGATAATTCAGAGGAGGAAACTGGTATATGCAAAACCTCACAGTAAATTACTCATGTAGGAAGGTTTGGATTTGATTGTCTCTCATATACACTTGCATGTGCTGAACTGACCCAGGGAGATAACTGTCTTCCTTGAGGAACAGATCAGACAAGTGACCTCTACCAGCATTTCTCCCTGACAACAGAACAGGTTCTGCTGCTGGCAACCAGGCCATCAACCTGCCAGAGATTGTGTTCGGATCCCCATGGTGAGGACTGCATTGTTACTGGTTAGTATATTACTGGTTAGCAGGGTGATATCAGACGGCATCACTGTGCTAACTCAATAAGAGCTACAAGAATTATCACAGGTCTAGAAAATGTTTTATCTGAGAGTTTCTGAATCGAATGTGTCCTAATAAATATGTATGAATAATGAGAATATAGACCCACCTTTACATTTTTTGATTCAGATAGCCACCTGTAATACTTAGCAGTGACTATAGGTATGCTCAGTGACATGAAGATGTAGAGGAAATTGTGTATGGTATATCTTAGGCTTCAGAGTGTGTGTTTTACAAAATGGTTCATATGTGTGAAGAAACACTGGAATCGGGCACCCTTGGGTTTGAAACTTGACTTCACTATTTACTGGCTTTTGTTAATTCACTTTCTATGCCTCAGTGTATCTGTGGAACCAGTATAACAATAGTATGGATCCCATGGAATTCTTGTGAGCCTTGCATAAGATAGATATAGGTTGTGTAACACAAAGTCTGCAAACTGTAAGGATTCATAGCTGATCATTATTAGTAATCATAATAAAACCCGTATACAGGACAGCATCTGAAGCCATTTGTCTTTAAAAAAAAAAAGAGCTAGAGATTCTAAATTTGATATTTTTAAATTATATCAAATGCAAGTCTTTGTACAGGAGGTTGTGTCTGGGTTAATGAAATGTCACACTCTGTTTATTAGAAATAAAGCTGCTATGGAGACAAACCCTCCATTAATTAGGTTCAACCTCATCTTTCATTCTGTAATGTCTCGTGCATCTATTGTGTCCATTTTTAAGATGAAATTAACTATAAAGAGTGAAGGCAGTATACTCACATGAAAGATATAAAACTGAGTAAGTATGCATTAAAGCAGAAAGTTAAACTTGTAAGGAGCCACAAATGGCAATATCATGTGTCCTTGCATTAGCATCATGTAATAGATCTGTGGGCAGATGGAATTTTGCAGGCAGGATTGAGGACTCTTAAGTATTTGGTTGCCTGCTCACTCACAAATGAGAATGGACCACGATGTCTGGAGCTTGGTCTCAGGAAGTTAGGGGATGTCCTTTGCGTGCAGACTGGGAAGTAAGCAAGGGACTCTGTTCTTTGGTGGCTGCCAACTATATTACAAGGGTAGGAAACCTGTAGAGCAAGGGCATGAGGCAGCTGGAGGGAAACTGAAGAAACCAAAGTGGAGCCAGATTCGTGGGAAGCAAAGCCTTGGGAAAGATCCTAACCTTAGAAACCTGCCTGCTAGCACCTCCTGACAGGGCACCTGTGGCTTTTGTGCAAGTTGAGATGAAATATCCTCGATTTAGAAGCAGCAGGGTTTTCATGCAGCTCTCTGCCCCACTCCACCCACTCCCACCCCGTGCAGCTAACTTTGTTGTGTGCTAGATTCACCTGGCGAGCTTGTTAAATTGCAGATTCTCGCAGGTCTCGGGTCTAGTCTGAGACCTACATTTCTAACAAGTACTCTGGTGTCTCTGAAACTGCTGGGCCAGAGACCATGTTTGGAGCAGCAGTGTCTAACCCATGCTCTCTTTCTCTCACTGCCACCTCTTGTCTTTCTGTCCCTTGGCACTTAACACCAGATCTCCCACAACGGGCTGATCCTCCTCACTTTTGCTGCCTGGCATCTCCTCTACTTAGAGCCACAGTTTTAGAAAAGCAGTATTTTAGCATCGAGATTATATTTCTTAAACTTGAATCACACCTCTTCTTGTAGGAATTGATCTTTATAAGTGATTTAACTTCATTTTTAAGCATAGGGAACTGTGTTAAAAATAATCATATATTTCCAAGCAAATGCATTAGATACTGCACCTAGATGTGTTCTAACAATTGCCACACAGTTCTTGGCGATTTCAGTGTGGCTTCTTTTGTCTGACAAGACCTTAGCTTCTGAGGTATGCAGCCACTTGTGTTTGACTCCATTCCTTGCACATCTCGAAAGGTCACCACTTGAGGTCTGTGGTTACAGTGATGAAATAATCATCAGAATCTGTGAGAAGGAAGTGAAGATGGAGGCACTGGGTAAAAATAAAGCCTGGGCATAATTATCACATTTTCTTAATGCCGTCATTTTTATTTTCTTACATGTATAAAATGTAGGCTACTATACAGATCTGTGAATATTTTAACAGCAAGTTTTAAGTTTTGCCTTTTAACAGTCTTTTTCAATATAGTGTTAAACTACTAAAGGTTCTTTGTCTATTGCTGTCTTTATTGTCCCAAACTTAAATAAGTAAATTAACAGATAATCATTTTACCCTTAGTGTTTGCAGGAAAGTTTTGAAATTTTTTTCTCTTGTGTTTCTTTTCTAGAACTACGATGATCTTTTGTTATTCAGCAATTGGGGAGAACTTAAGAGCTGAGGAAGAGTGATTTCAAGGTATTTATTTATCTATGTGATTGCTTGTTCAAGCTGACTTCTAGCTTAGCTTTGTGGATTGTTCATTTGGAGACCCTAAGCTGTGGGCTTGCAGACACACAGCCTTCATGTAGAAAAACTCAAAGAATGAGCTGGTTGGATTTTGAGTATAAGCCATGAGTCTTCTGAAATACAGACCAAGACACTAACAGGTTGCTTCCTGCAACAAGAGCGTTTCATTTTGGTCAGTAACGGGCACAACCCTGGTTCTGCTATGTAATTGAAGTTGGGCAAATACCTCACCTCTCCAATCCCTGTCCTCATCTTTGAGACATGAATAACAACTGGATTGCTTCAAAGGCTTCACAGAGAATTAACACAGTGCACACCACCACCATCAAATCTCAAAAACACCATGTTGTATTTACTGTTATCATATTAGAGCTAATAGCAAAATTGCACCAACATTTTTTCCTAGTGACCTTGAGCCATCTTAACAGAATCAAATCCAGCAAAAATCATCCAACCTAAATGAATAAGAAGTTAACACAAAGACATTCTATATTTGATTTGAGTAATTAGTTTAGTAGAAGGTTATCAATTTTTATAATGAATCTGGACTTTGAAGTGCCATGTCCACTGCACTTAGAAGATTTAGGACTCTTCAGCGCAGTGACCTGGCCTGACCTCTTCCCATTACATGTCATTATCCAGTTCTCCTATGGCCCGGAGAGGAAGAGGTCCATCTGCTCTGAATTTTCCCAGTCTCTTCACAGAAGGAACATTGTTAAATAGGCCACTGTCTTCATCCTTCCACTTGTTGAGAAATTGGCTCTCTTGCTAGAGTAACCCTTTTTCCCTAGGAGGGCAGGGAGCAATTTTAGGGTCATTGTGGTCCCCTTGGAAGCCTGGGTCTTTCTAAATACAGATGCTGGAAAACAGCCTGCCTTTTGTTAGCTAACTTTGACTAAAGAATTAGTGCATTAAAAGTTTTGATTATCTGTACTCCAGAAGTGCCTTTGTCTGATCTCTCAATATTTGATAAGAACCTTGATTCAGGGCTTAAACACTGTTTTCTCTAATACATTGCTGTTTCCACTTAAGTGTTTGCCTTGCACATTTTAGTGGTAACCTGAAGTGCAGAGTATTTTCCAGTCAGGGTAATTAAGATTTAACTCGAGAATCTATATGTTTCAGACTAGGTTCCAGATGCACCTGTAGTGAGCTCACAGTACTCTTTAATTTCAGAAAATCATTGTATGTTTCTTTTTTGTATGTTAAAAATTGACTTAATCTGCTTTTCCGTTTTCTCCCTGCCTTATTACACTCCCATCCCCAGTGGTACGGTCATCTTTATTTGTATGTCCCAAGTAGCTCTCAAAACAAATATGTATACAATAAAACTGTCTTTCCCCCAGGTCCCTCACTTCTCTGCTTGCAACTGATTGCTTTTTCTGGAATCAATACCTCAGCTAATGGCATCCCCGTTGGCGCAGTGACTCAAGCCACAAATCTCTGTCCTGACATTACCTCCTCCTCATTCAATCTGTACCAGATTCCTGATTTAATGTAGTACAGGAAAGTTTGAAACGGGGACTAGCTTTAGGTGAGGTCAGATGTTCACTTCGGCTGTCACAGATGTTCCCTGTAAGGCCTATTGGACCCTCCTGTCTTCTGCCTTTCACTGCTTTAGACCTGGCCCTCATCGCCTCTGCGCAGATCAGTGCCTGGAGCTGCCTGTCGCAGCTCTTGCCAATAAACCACCCCACTCTCTGAACCCTTTCCAAACTGACACCATGATTTCCTGCTCAGTGGCTTCAGTGGGCTCTCGTAACCTCGAGGATAGACCCAGACACCCTCTTGTAGATTCTTGTGATCCAGCCATCGGTACCCTCCAGCACATTGCCTGCCTTCCCTGCGTTTCCAATCCACTTCATTAAGACAGATTTCTTGGGGTGCTCTGAAACATGCCCTTTCCAGGCATACGCGTCTTTCTTTGTGCATGCTTTGCTCCCTCTGAAAATTCTCTTTCCTGCCCCTTCTTTCTTGATCAATTCTCGTGCATTCTCAAAGACCCATCTCAAATCCATCTCTTCTGAGAAGCCCCCATGATTCCTCCAGGGGTGGCTCCCACAGTTCCTCAGTTGTGTTTGTACTCACATTTGACCTTTCTAGATGCTAAACTTGAAGGCAAGCTTCTGACCTTATTTTTGTACCTCCGAGGTGTAATAAATGCATGATAACACACAGTGAACACTCTGACTTCTTTAAATGACTATATCTGTGACACTGTAATAAGGAAAAAGCAAGTATTCATGAAAAATAATTGCTCTCAAGCTGTGCCTTTTTGCTGATTACCAATCAGCATTTTTCACAACAATAATGCTTTGCTTTCTGTTATGCTTTTCGTGTCCATGTGCTGAGAAGGGCCTCGAAGCCCCTTTCCCTCTTTATTAACCATGACCACACCTTTTGTGAAAATGTGTATCATTTCCCCCTGGGAAGTAGACTCAGCCAGTTTCTTTACTAGCTTTGGTGATCATTGTAGTTAAATCTTTGGGTGTGTTTTATTTTGAGATTCGAAATTTAATCTTCAGCAACCCATTGTCAGTCTTCTTTTTGCCTTTGTTTTAGATGACTTTCTGATTTGCAGAGTTGTTTTTTCCAGTTATTAAAAAGACAAGCAGTGAAAACACAGAATCGTAACTGTCTAGTGAGACATGAACTCCTAATCTAAATCAACAAGTAAGTGGGTTTTGTGAAAGGTCACAGTTAAAGCAATTACCGATGAACCACATCTTTGAGGAATTAGGGGAAAATGATGGGATTCATTTTTAACTCAAAACAATCCTAAGCAGCAGCCTAGGCTTTTCTGGAGTGGCTTTGTAATCAGAGGTTACCGCAGGGCATGTCAGAACTTTTAACAACTGGCTGCACTGTAAAAACCGGCTTAGGTTGTAAGGTGATTGCAGAGCGAGGAAGTGATGGCTTTAGCCAGCTTTTGTCTTGTGTGTGATGTTTGGCTCACAAAGAGGAGGTTAATTTCAGCCTAAACTATCAAATTTATTTTTTGAAATGAGTCCATTTTAATAGTAACCTGCTTATGCTTCAAAATATCCACAAGCAGTAAGAGTTAGCTGGAAATGTTACAACAAGTATCTTAACTAACTCTGGGCCAGTAGTCAACAGAATATTTTGCAATCAGTCTAATTAATCTAGTTGTTTTTTTTTTTCTTTCTTCCTTTTTCTGCTATCCTCCTCTACATTTATTGTACTCTGAAATATAATAGCCATGTGCTTAGTGTAGATAGCTGAAAGATACAAAATTCTCAGAGAAGAAAAAGTATTTCATTGTGGTAACTTGGTTTCCACAGAGCGCCACACACAAGCACACACACACACTAGCAAGCATACATTTAAAATTTCTGTGATATGGGGCTGGGGATTTAGCTCAGTGGCATAAGCGCCTGCCTTGCAAGCAGGCAGTCATGAGTTCGATCCCTGGTACCGATAAAAACAAAAAAGACCAAAAAAATAAATAAATTAAATAAAATAAAATTTCTGTGATAAAAATTTTCACACACATGGGGAGAATTACACAGTGATATTCATGATTATAATCACAAATGGTCAAAATTTTGCCACCACGGTTCCATCCATCCCTTCTTTGGTCTTTCTCTTCTTTCTCTTTTTTGGAATATCAGCCAACTACTTCGAAAGGGAAAAGAAGAATTTTAATTGTGGAAAATAATTACTTGCCTGCCTGTCCCTCATATTCTCACCTTTTATTGGGAAGCACAAAGTATAGTTTTATACTTAGTGTTGCATTGTACTTTGAGAATAAGCAGCCCTAAAGCTCAGGTCTATCACCTGCTAGATGGGTATTGATTTTTCTGCTTAAATCAATGTTTCCCTAGAGCATAGCTTTATTTATTCATAAAGCTCAGATGATGTCTGACAGGAGTTACAGCAGTGTACATCAGTGAGGCAGGCGCAATAAGAAGAGCTTTTGTAAGACTCAGTAATCAATGAGCTGATGCTAGAGGGTAACCTCATCAAACTGGGGAACGCATTCACTGTACGTCCACATGTAAAAGGGAAATTTCAGCACAGGGTAATTTTGTTCCTTTGGTGCCTGCGACCCTTTGCCGACAGGCCTAAAAGCAGGGTGACACCAGTCTGCACCTGTCTGATACCATGGCTGGGGAACCACGGAGTGCATAGCGGCAGGGTATTATCTGTGAACCCTTGTTGATGCTGAATCTGCCAGCTTGCTTATCAAGGATGTGCTGGCCCAGTTATTTGTCCCCAAAAATCTGTCTCATGGTGCAGGTAGCTCCAGGATGGGCTTTGCTGCCCAGTAGATGGTCAATACTCACGTCTTTGCATTGGGATACTTTTGCATACTTGTTTTTTAAACATCTCTAACAACTTTCTAGATAGCTAAGCCACGTAAATCATGTGTAGTCCTAAAGTGCTCACCTTTTGTTGATTAATGTGTGTGTTTTCCATGCAACCTTGACTGATTTTTTTTCTTTTTTACTGGTTGAAAAGTGTATCTAATGGCTAGAACATCACTGTGTGAAATTCCAGATGTCCAGTTTCCTATTAGTTACGCAATCCTATCATTGTGGAAGGAATTGGAGAATTAGGTGACCTGGTTTCCTTTTGCTCCTAGCTGCTGTGTAACCTAGGTGAGGCAAGTTCTTGAGCTTTTCTGAGACTAAGGTTTTTGTTTAGGTTGTTGTTTGTTTTTATGCTCTTTTTAAAAGATCAGTACGTGATAATATATGAGATTAGCAAGCATTTACTTCTTGACTTCCATAAATTGTTGTGCATCTCTTCCACTTAAAAGTAGTGGTGATATTGTCTTAAAAGGAGGAAATGAAAAAGAACAAAAGGGGTGGACAAAGGAGGATTATACTTTATGCAGAATAAGATTTCTTCCAGTTTTAAAAGCCCATGATGTTCAGTAAAAAGATTTCAGATGACTAACTCGCCATGAGGAGACACGCACTTCC